AGTGAGGCCTCGTGTCAAAAACAAACAAACAAAAATAGGGATCTGGGGTGCTCTGAAGTTGTCTAGTAAATAGATTGATGGACAATAGAGGGACCGAAGGAATCACAGAAACATGATAAAGCAAGGACTAAAATGTTAGTGGGGAATCTACGGGTAGATTTATGTTCACTGAAAATCTACTGATTTTTCTGTATGTTTGACAGTCTCCTAATACAACGTTGGGGGAAAATGGAGGTGGATCTCTTGTATTTTGATACATGGAAAGGTATTCGTATAAGATACAGAAAAGTTTCAAATTGATGTGATAGCATAATTCCAAATGTTAGAACAGAGAAAGACAGAAGGATGTATAATAAGGGCTGGGTATTTTGAGGTGGCTGGGTACACTTGACTATAGGTGCTTTATTCTTTTTCTACAATAATTGTTGATATTTACAAGGTGGAGGTTGCTTACTTTTGTAAGGTGGGGAAAAGACGCAAGGCTGGGCAGTGGCCTACACCTGCAATCCCAGCACTTGGGAGGCTGAGGTGGGTTGACTGTTTGAGCCCAGGTGTTGAGACCAGCCTGCAATGTAATGAAACTCATTCTGCAAAAAATGTGGAATTAGCTGGAGTATGGTGGGCGGTGGCCTGTGGTCCCAGCTGCACCAGGAGACACAGACAGAGGGATCACCTGAGCCCAGGGAGGTCCAGGCTGCAGTGAGCTATGATCACACTGCTGCACTCCAGCCTGGGTGACAGAGCCCTTCTTAAAAAAAAAAAGAAAAAAGGTGGTTCAGTAAAATATGTATTATAAAAATTTGTATTACCTCAGTCTTTTCTCATCCTGCTCTTCTTGACCCTCTCAGTTTCAGTATGAATCTGAGAAATCTTATTGCTGTGAGCCTAACTCTTCTCATCTAGACAATGTAGAAGTAGTACTTACTCCATCCAGAGATACAACGTGCAGGTTATAGAGTAAGGTGACGAGGTGGTTACAGCCTAGAGTTGGGGTGTCCAATCTTTGGCTTCCCACACACTGAAGAAGAAGAACTCTCTGGGCCATACATAAAATACACTAAACACATTCAATGATAGCTGATGTTTGTTAAAAAATTGCAAAAGAAATCTCTTACAATGTTTTAAGAAAGTTCACAAATTATGCGCCTGCAGGTTAGACAGTAAGCTTGACTAAGAGGCGGAGGACTGTTTGGAGCCAGGGCTGATTCAAGGGCTTGCCGTAGCCCTCTTGTATGGCCCAGACCTGGGCATGACAACAGCTGCCAGACTGCATGCATGGTCACGGGGATTCGGGGAAGCACAGGGCACAGAGCAGGCACACCCCAAGAGCAGGTGCATCCACCAGCCAGGATTAAACCACCTGCTAAACGCCTCAACTGGAAAACAGAGATGTCGAACAGAGAGTTTCCTATTGGGGGACCCTGAAGTCAACCCCTCTTTTTTTCTTTCTGAGTCCCCTGCCTTCTAGGACTGGTTCCAGGCCCCAGCCTTCCCTCAGACCCAGGGGGTCCAGGCTCAGCCTCCCTCAGTCCCAGGAGTCCGGCCTCCAGCCCCTCCTCCCCAAACCCACAACCATGCACCCCAGCCCCTCCTCTCTGAGACCCAGGACTCACGTGCTCCCAGCTGTAGCCTGTGGTCTGGGCCAGCTGGCAGCGCCGCAGGTCAGGGTGGCCTCATTCTGGCTGAGGTACCAGTTGTTATCATAGCTAGATATTGTACTCTGGGGACTGCAGGAAATGGACACAGAGGTTCAGAGACAGAGACTTTGGGGAGTCAAGGCATACGTGGATTCACGCTACTGTATGGGGAAAAGGCCTGGGGATAGTTTGGAAAATAGCAGGAGCTGAGACAGGGCCTAGAGGACTCTAGGGAGATGGGGTGCCGCAGAGAGCAGAAGCCTGGGAGTCTGTGGTCAATGGGCACATGGAGAGGGCTTCTGAGAGACCTGGGTTTTCTTCCACTAGCTTTCCTGGGTAGCCCGGATCAGGTAATGTTCTGGGTGTCCTGCAGGAAAAGGGCCTCCTCCTTTCACTCATAGGTAATGACTAGCCCCATAACACACGGCAGGTGTATTCAAGGCTCCGGCCAAGTCTCAAGGGAAAGAGTCCTGATAACCTGCTCTAGGCTGCTGCTCAGCCATCCCAGATGTGATTCTCAATGTCCACAGGGGCAGGCCATGGGACAGGGTTTTGGGGGCTAGGGCAGGAGTCAGTGAGATTTTCCTCCTAGGCCTGTGACCCATGACAGTGCTGAGGACTCCAGGATAGACAGTACCCGAGGGAATCTGTACCACTGGTCGGCAGGGAGTAGGCAGATAGACAATGATGGAGGAACAGCATGAATGATTTGTAAAGAGCTTCAGTGATATTACTGATGGGCTCAGTGCAGACAGATATTGGAACATTACAGCAGGATGCCATACTGTCAGGCCAGTGTTGAAATGTTGTAGGAAGAGGATCAATTCCCACACATAGACTGTGACCCCAGGAGCTGTGAAATTAAGACAAGCCCTGTGTGTGTGTGTGTGTGTGTGTGTAGACAGTATTTGGATGAGCCAGTGTAGAGCAATGTGAGCTATAGTCTAGATCTGTGCTATTCAGCTGGCACTGCATTTCAGCCACATGTGACCATTGAGCACGCAAATATGGCCAGGCTGAAATAATACACCAGATTTCAAAGGCTTTACTAGGGCAAAATAAATGGGAAAGATCTCAAGAATAATTAAAAAACAATGATGTTGGAAATAATATTTTGGGTATATTGGGCAATTATTAAATTAATCTGGCAGGCTCATGCCTATAATCCCAGTACCTTGGGAGGTTGAGGCAGGAGGATTGCTTGAGTCAGGAGCTTGAGACCAACCTGGCAAGGACAGGGAGACCTGTCTCTATAAAATAAAAATAGGCTGGGTGTGGTGACTCATGTCTGTAATCCCAGCATTTTGGGAGGCCAAGGTGGGTGGATCATGAGGTCAGGAGTTTAAGACCAGCCTGGCTAACATGGTGAAAACCCCATCTCTGCATACAAATTACAGGCAAATTAGCTGGGCACTGAGCCAGGTCTTGTAATCTCAGCTACTCAGGAGGCTGCAGTGGTGAGAATCAAAGTGAACCCGAGAGGGCGTGAGGCTGCAGAGCTTTCTGAGATCGCACCACTGCACTCTAGCCTGGGTGATATGAGAAGACTCATTACACACACACACACACACAATTAGCTGGGCATGGTGTCACATGCCCAGTCCCAGTTATCAGGAGACTGGAGGTTGAGGTGGGAGGATCAATTAAGACCAAGAGGTTGAGGTTGCAGTGAGTTGAGCCAGATCATGACTACAGTCTGTGTATAGTAAGACTCGCCTCAAATAAATAAATAGATAAATAAATAAATAATACATTTCATCTCTTTCTTTTCTTTTTTTGATTTTGAGACAGAGTCTTGCTCTGTTGCCCAGGCTGGAGTGCAATGGCGCGATCTTGCTCACTGCAACCTCTGCCTCCCAGGTTCAAGTAATTCTCCTGCCTCAGCCTCCTGAGTAGCTGGGATTATAGGCACCTGTCACCATGCCTGGCTAATTTTTGCATTTTTTGAGACCAGCCTGGCCAACATGGTGAAACCCCGTCTCTGCAGCAAACAGTAAAATCATTGAGGCAGGTGGTTTACTGAGGTCAGGCTGGTCTGGAATGCTGACTCAGGTGAGCCACCTGGCTCAGCCTCCCAAAGTGCTGGCATGTGCCTGGCCTCTTCTTTGGTTCTTTTAATGTGCTGCTGAGAATTTAAAATCCTATATGCAGCTTCTAAGGGTTATTTCGTTAGACAGCACTGGTTAGAGAGTCCTGGGGCTGTCAGTGGAGATAAACGGTGGGGTGTCAATGTTGATGACGCTGTGAGGGAGCTGCTGGAGGTAATGCTGCAGGAGAACCAGACAGATGCCAGTTAGCCGCAGACAGAACACAAGAGGCCAGTGTGGTGATGTGGGGCCAGACTCATAGCTCAAAGTGAGCCAGTGTAGACAACATTGTAAGTGGTGAGGAGCATGGAGACTACTCTGGGAGGACCCTGGTGAGACACTGCTGAGGAGCCAGCAAACAATAGTGGAAGACTCACACCAGCCAGCACCCGGCAGATGTATTTCCATCGGGCTCAGGGGAACTGGTCGATACAATGGGAGGAATGACACAGTTTCAGGAGTCAGTGTAGACAGGCCGAGGGGCACTTTAGAGAGTGCCCAGGAGAACCAGTGTAGAAAAAGTGGGGTGTTTATGTAGACAGTGGTCACAGGAGCCAGTGTAGACACCATGTGAGACAGTGAAAACACCCCACAGCTGATGGCCGAAATAGCTGGTGTAGACAATGGGGATAGCGCTGTCTGTGGCCCAGAAGAGCCAGTGTAGACAATGGTAAGGCAGTGTAGAAAATAGACAAGAGGCCAGGTGCAGTGGCTCACGCCTGTAATCTCAGCACTTCGGGAGACTGGGGTGGGAGGATCACTTGAGCCTAGGAGTTTGAGACCAGCCTGGGCAACGTAGCAAAACTCTCTCTACAAAAAATTGTAAAATTAGCTGGGCATGGTTGCTGTACCTCTAGTCCAAGTTACTTGGGAGACTGAGGGGGGAGGATCGCTTGAGCCTGGAAGGTTGAGGCTGTAGGAGCCATGATCATGCCCCTACACTCCAGCCTGGGTGATAGAGTGAGACCCTGTCCAAAAAAAAAAAAAAAAAAGGCCGGGCATGGTGGCTCATGCCTGTAATTCTAGCACACTTTGGGAGGCCAAGGCAGGCAGATGACCTGAGGTCAGGAGTTTGAGAACAGCCTGGCCAACATGGTGAAACCTTGTCTGTATTAGAAATACAAAAATTAGACAGGTGTGGTGGCATGCACTGTAATCCCAGCTATTTGGGAAGCTGAGGTAGGAGAACCACCTGAACTTGGGAGGCAGAGGTTACAATGAGCCGAGACTGTGCCACTGTACTCCAGCCTGGGTGACAGAGTGAGACTTTATTTCAAAAAAGAAAGAAAGAAAGAAAGAAATGGACAAGGGAGTGGGTGTGTAGACAAGAAGGGAGGCAGTGCTGATCATGGCCAGGAGAACCAGTGTAGCAATGTGGGGAAAGTCATTGTGGATAGTTGCCTGGGGAAGCAGGTGTAGGCAGTTTGGGGGCAGTGTAGACTGTGCTCAAGGGAGTCAAGAGTGTGGGGTCTCCATGCAGACAGTGGCTAGAAGAGCCAGGGCAGAAAATCTGGGTACCAGCATTGACTATGGCCCGAGTAAACTGGTGTAGGCAATAGGGACAGTGCTGTTTATGGCCCAGGGGAGCTGGTGCAGATAATGGGGGTGGGTCGTGTAGACAGGAGTCAGGGGAGCCAGTGCAGATGAAGGAAGCAATGCCTACAGTGCTTTGGGGAGTCAGTGTAGACAGTGGTGGGGGCAGCCTGGCAGGGGATCTTGCCGTCACTGACTCGGGCACACTCACAGTAGACGGTGAGGTTCACAGTCAGCAGCTGAGGCTTCTCAAAGCTCTCGTGCTCCACCTTGCAGGTCACACTCTTGCCGTCCACCTGGCTTGAGGGCACCAAAATCCAGAGGCTGGTGACAGTGACTGTGCCAGACAGGAACCCTGGCGCCTGGCTGGTATTGGGCATCCCGCCCAGGTCTGAGTGCCAGGTGATGTGGGCCGGCGGGCGACCGCCTGTGGAGACGCAGCGGGCCACGGGCACCGGCTTTCCAGTGAGCTGGACCTTCTGAACCTCAGCTGTGTTCTGGGGCTTCGCTGGGAAGAGGAACAAAAGCAACAGGTCATTCAATGAACCCCTCCGTGGTAGAAGGAGGCATTCATTAAGGGTACAGGATGGCATGGTGGCTGGGCGGGGTGGCTCATGCCTATAATCCCAGAACTTTGGGAGGCTGAGGTTGGTGGATCACTTGAGGTCAGGAGTTCGAGACCAGCCTGGCCAACACGGGGAAACTGTCTCTACTAAAAATGAGCCAGGGTGTGGTGGCACACACCAGTAATCCCAGTTACTTGGGAGGCTGAGGCCGGAGAACTGCTTGAACTTGAGAGGTGGAGGTTGCGGTGAGCTGAGATTGTCACTGCTCTCCAGCCTGGGCAACAGAGCGAGAATCTGTCTCAAAAAAAGAAAAAGAAAAAAAAAAGGATACAGGATGGCATGGTTTAAACCCCTGCTGTGTCCCTGAGCAGCTGGGTGGTCTTGGGCAAGTCTGTGCCTCAGTTTCCTTGTCTGTCGACAGGGGTAGTGATGGCACCATAGGCAATGAGAATATGCAGGTGAAGCTCTCAGAATGGCACCATAAATACTGTTTGCTGGAAAGTGCTGGGGCCCAGCAGTGACCAAAATAGCCCTGGTTCTGCCCTCATGGGTACAGTCCAAGGGGGCAGACAGACTCTTTCCTAGGCAGTGATGACTCGGAGAGGGCAAGGCTGGGAAGGGGAAACCCAAAGGGGGTTATCCTAGTCTGGGGCTCAGTGGAGGAGAGGAAGCCTGAGCCCTGAAGTTGAGAAGGGAAGTAACTTGCCCACGGTGACACAGCTGTAAGCAGCAGAGCTAGGCTTTCACATAAGGTCTGTCTGACTCAAAACCACCTTGACCATCTCTTAATCATCATCCTGGTGATTCCCAAACCTGGAACTTGCTTCCCCATCATTACCTGTATTATTTACCGAAGATTTCTCCTTAACTTGACTTGCTGTTTCTGTTTTACCCTCATCCTAAACCATGATACCTGGAATCCCAGGCTTGCTGGAGCGACAAGAGCTGCCTGTGGTTGGGTGTTGTGTGCCAGGCACAGTTCCAAGCCCTTGACATTTCATGAATTTCTCATGCACAGGCCTGGAATAGTTCTTGGCACATAAGCTTAAAAAAACCAAACCAAACCAAACCAAACAAAACAAAAACAAGTTGGGCGTGGTGGCACATTCCTGTAATTCCAGCCACAGGGAGGGCAGGAACATCCCTTGAGCGCAGGAGTTCCAGGCTGCAGTGAGGACCTACTGTGACCACACCACTGCACTCCAGCCTGGGCGACAGAGCTAAACTCTGGCTCAAAAAAAACAGGGTCAGTTTTTTTGAATCCTCATGGTGATCCCCATCCCACAGATGAGGAAACTGAGGCACAGAGACTTCTTGCTCAAGTTCCAAGAGGAGGGCCTCATGGAGCTCATGAAAATGAAAGCAGATCCTCTCCTCTTTTGGGTATCAGGATCCTTGCTTTCCTGTCTGTCTGTTTCAACTTTCTCCTTTTTCACCAAATAAAGTAACAGTAACTGACAGCTCTAAGGGGCTCACATGGGCCAGCGGTGAAGCTCTAAGTCTGCACCGGGACACTCAGGACAGCTTTCCAAGGGTGATACTATTGTCACCAACCCTTTTACAGATGAGGAAAGGAGGGGCCGAGAAGAGGCCACCCAGGCCTCCTCCCTTCCTTTTGGGTCCCCTCCCAGCTCCCTTTCCAATATACCCCTCCCTCTCCCTCAGGGCGTTGTGACCCCAAGATTGGGGGTCGTTACTCCAGGAGATCTCTGTTCCCTTCCTGCCCTGCAGCCCCTCCCCCCATGTGCCTCCCCCCACCCCACCCCCATCATTGCGCTGCCCCTCCTTTTGTCCCCAGGGAATCTGCTGTGGAGGGAATCCCCCTCCCTCTCAGGCCTCCCCCTTCTTTGCTGACTTCCCTGATCCTCCCACCAAGTCTCCACCTTTCATTCAGCCTCCCCAAAACCCCTGCTCACCAAGCACTCGGAGCCAGATATCCACGCTCCTGCTGCCCTGTGGGAACGTGACGAACAGGCAGGTGTAGTTGCCTTCATCCTCGACGCGCAACCCGAACATCCTCAGTGAGGCATCCCGCAGCTCTGTGCCCAGTCTGGCGGCCACGAATTCCAGCCGTTTGGGCTCCGAATAGTTGGGGCCCTGCGTTTGGTGGAAGACGGCCATGCTGCCGGATTCACCATGCCGTGACCAAGTCAGCTGTGACACGTGTGTCTCCTCCATGCCGGGCACCTGTAGGTAGCAGGGCAGCGTCACGGAGTCGCCCAAGAAGCCGGGCACCTGGGTGGGCGCCTGCACGATGATGTCCCCTGCGGAGAACCGAAGAGAAGGTGTCAGACCTGGGGCGTTCCTGGGCTAGATAGTGAGGGGTCCGGGAGCCCGGGCACCTGGGCGTGCAATTGCATGCTGGGGCCCTGGAGCCCTGGTGGACGGTGGGGTGTGGGGGGAGGGGGGACTGGGGCACTAGTTGGGGTCAAGGCAGGTGAGGAGGGTAAGGGCGTCCGGGATGGTCTGCAACTTGGCCGTGTTCCTTCACTTTGGCTATTTATTACTATATTTCTTCTATTATTACTGTATTTCCCTCAATCTCAATATCACTGATTTTAAAAATTGTGGTAAATATTGTGGTTAAAAAACTAAATTTACCATTTAAGCCATTTAAAGCATACAGTTCAGTGGCACTACGTACATTTCACGATGTTGTGCAACCGTCACCATTATACAGCTCCAGAACTTTTTCTTTTCTTTTTTTTGAGACGGAGTCTCGCTCTGTCACCCAGGTGGAGTGCAGTGGCCCGATGTCTGCTCATTGCAAGCTCTGCCTCCGGGGCTCAAGCGGTTCTCCTGCCTCAGCTTTCTGCGTAGCTGGATGACAGACTCCCACCACCACACCCGGCTAATTTTTAAATTTTTTTTTTAGCAGAGATGGGGTTTCCCCATGTTGGCCAGGCTGGTCTTGAACTCCTGGCCTCAAGTGATCCTCCTGCCTCGGCCTCCCAAAGTGTTGGGATTACAGGTGTGAGCCACCGCACCTGGTCCAGAACTTTTTCATCACACTGGTATCTTAGCTTTCACATACCATGACTGTCGTTATTTACAGCACAATTGCCATTAGGGGTTAGAATACCCCCAATGTAGAAAATGGGGAGAAATCCTGGATCTTCAAATTCATGAAAGGCTGTATTATTACTCTGGGTGGATCCTCTCTCATACACACACACATACACGCACACACACAATAAATATATATATACACACACAAAATATATAAATAAAATATATATTATTTATTTACTCATTAAATGAATAATAAAATATATATTATTTATTATATAGATAACATGTATGTTATAAATATAATATATTTAATATTTACTAAGAAATATATTGGGCCGGGCGCGGTGGCTCACGCCTGTAATCCCAGCACTTTGGGAGGCCGAGGCGGGCGGATCACAAGGTCAGGAGATCCAGACCACGGTGAAACTCCGTCTGTACTAAAAATACAAAAAATTAGCTGGGCGTGGTTGCGGGCGCCTGTAGTCCCAGCTACTCGGGAGGCTGAGGCAGGAGAATGGCGGGAACCCGGGAGGCGGAGCTTGCAGTGAGCCGAGATCGCTCCACTGCCCTCCAGCAAGAAAAAAACAAGACTCCGTCGCAAAAAAAAAAAAAAAAAAAAAAAAAGAAATATATTGTACATTATGATGTAATATATTATTATTTATATAATACATAATATATAATATATATATTTATCAGGAGTTTGAGACCAGCCTGGCCAACATGGTGAAATCCTGTCTCTGCTAAAAACACAAAAATATTAGCCAGGCATGGTGGCACATGTCTGTAATCCGAGCTACTCGGGAGGCTGAAGCAGGAGAATCGCTTGAACCCGGGAGGAGGAGGCTGCAGTGAGCCAAGATCAGGACACTGCCCTCCAGCCTGGGTGATGGGGTGAGACTGTTTAAAATTTAAAAAAAAAAAAAAAAAAAAAAAATGAATGAATGGCCAGTTCCCTTGGAGTCAGACATTGGGGGTCAGAGGGGTAATTGTGTCAAGTGTCACCCACTGTCCGCCTCCCCAACTTGAACCATCCTCTCCGTCCAGACCCAGTCGGCCGTTATGGCCTGGGTGTGCTGAGCAGGGACCTGGGTAAGGTAATCCCGCATGAGTCACCATCTGCTGATTTTCCGAGATTCTCTTGCCTTTTTGGGAAATGTCCGCACCCAACTCCATCCCCTTTCCGAGGGGCCCAGAGGAGGGTCTTGTGCCTACCCCATGTTGCTGCCAATTTCGAGGAAGTTCTAAACCCAACTCCGACCGCTCTCCGGATGGCTACGAGGAGGGTCCTGCCCTCGCCCCGTGTTCCTTCAAAACCCCGGGGCAGAGATGGGGGGTGGGTGGCGCCGGGCGGCGCCGTCATCTTCGGGGACCCAGGGGGCCAAGTATCCGGCTTGGATGCGGAGCTGGGAGAGAGAGAGGGGCCGCCGGACTGCGCGGAGGTCACTCACCGGTTCCTGGGGGTGGCCAAGACAGCTCCAGTAGCGTCAGTAGCAGCGGAGGCCATGCGGCGGCCATGGTTCGGGCCATGCCAGTTGCTCCGGACAGCTGGGCCTCAGGCGGGCGCCTCCTTCTCGCTTCCCGGCGCCAGCTCGCTCTGCCGCGGCCGCTGCGAGTCCAGCTCCCGGAGCTCGGGTCCTGGAATCCCCGGGGGGCCGCTCCGTCAGTGCCTGGGGTGGGAAGGGGAATACCCACTTCTTCAAATTCCAGACCAGTGAGCCGAGGGGAGTTGGCGGCCAGTCCCCTCAGGCACGGGGGCGTCACCCAGGCTTCGCCCCCCCTACGCCCCGGCGCGCCTGCGCCTGCGCAGGTCTCTACCGGCTCTCAGTCCCGCTACAGACGCGCGCGCGCTCCCTCAGTGCGCTCTAGAAGAGGCGGCTTCCCGTGTGAGGACGCCCACATCCCAGGTGAGGAAACGGAGGCACGCGGAGAGATTCAGCAACTTACTAACGGCTCGCGGTTGCCGAGTGGCAGAGCTGAGGTTTCAACTCGTGATGGGACAGATCCTGAGCCCGCCAGGCTATCCTTCCCCTCAGCCTAAACCCATGGGCTTTGGGGTCAGACAAGACCTGGGCTCATGTTAAGGAAGTGGTTTCTCCTCGAGGGCCCTCAGATTCTTTATCTGAAAAATGGGCATAGTAGGGCGCGGTGGCTCAGCAATTTGGGAGGCTAAGGCAGAAGGACTGTGTGAGCCCAGGAGTTAGAGGCTGCGGTGAGCCACCCTCGCGCCACCGCACTACAGCTTGGGTGACAGAGCCAGACCTGTCTCAAAAAAAAAAAAAAAAAAAAAAAAAGTTGAGGGCTGGGGCGCAGGCGCAGTGGCTGACCCCTTTAATCCCAGCACTTTGGGAGGCCGAGGCAGGAGGATCAGCTGAGGTCAGGAGTTCAAGGCCAGCCTGGCCAACATGACACAAACCCATCTTTACTAAAAATACAAAAATTAGCTGGCATGGTGGCACATGCCTGTAATCCCAGCTACTAGGGAGTCTGAGACAGGAAAATCACTTGAACCTGGGAGGTGGAGGTTGCAGTGAGCCAAGATCGGGCCTCTGCACTCCAGCCTGGGTGACAGAGCGAGACTCTGTCAAAAAAGAAAGAAAGAAAGAAAAAAGGGCATACAGCATGGTCTGTAAAGCTTAAACAAGGAACTGCTTAGCTCAATTTCGGGGATATAGTGTATACTAAATAAAAAGCAGATATACCAACAATAGCAGCAGTGGCAGTGACAATTATTGTTATTGTTGCTTTACAGTTGCCATCAAATAATAATGTTCATGAGAATGGTAATTCATTCATTCTTCACTCAACATATATTTATTGAGCCAGTCAGTATCCCAGGTGCTGGGGATACAGCAGAAAATAAGACAGACAAAAATCTCTGCCTTTAATGAAGACCGTGTTCTGGTGGAGGGAAACAGACCATAAACAGATTAATACCAGAACTCCAGCAGGTCTGGGGGAGATAAGAGTTATAGACCAACCTGCAGTAGGGAGAGGGGAGGAGGGTGGGAGGAAGGGAGGGGGAGAGAGAGAGAGAAATAGAAACAGAGAGACACACTCAGAGATAAGGGCTGGGAGACAGAGACAGAGAAAGATTGAAAGAGATAGAGACACAGCATAGACAGAGCGAGATGAGATTGAAATGAGAGGTGACAGAGAGACTCAGAAAGTCAAACCCTAAGAGAGAGAACCCAAGAGACTTCCTGGTCCCCAGAGGTGTCTGACCTGGCCAGGGTCTCCATGAGGCTGACTAACAGCTCTTGTCCCTGTTCTCTGACATCCTTACATCCTTTTTATTTTTATTTTTTTTTAGACAGGGTCTCACTATTTCACTGAGGCTGGAGTGCAGTGGCGCCATCATTGCTCATTGCGGCCTCCACCTCCTGGGCTCAATTCCCTCAGCCTCCTGGGTAGTTGGGACCATGGGCATATGCGATCACGCCCAGCTAGTTTTTAAATTTGTTGTAAAGACAGGGTCTTGCTATGTTGCTCAGGCTCATCTTGAATTCCTGGCCTCAAGCGGTCGTCCCACCTTGGCCTCCCAAAGTGCTGGGATTACAGGCATAAGCCACTGTGCCCGGTCCCACATTCCTGTATCTTTTTGTAAAATCTCTCCTTTGGCTTTTGGCTGGCTTGAAGCTTTCTTTCCCCGGGTGCCCTCTCTAACTTGGATCTGATGCTTGTGTATGACACATCTGATGCTTGGGGTCTCTCACCTTGGATGTATGTAGGTGAATTTCTAAATGGAAACATGGACGCTGGTCTCTTGGAAATCTCTGAATTTTCTGTGATTCTTGTTCTGCTGAGTTATTTCCAAATTGGGAATCTGTGGCCATTGTTATGTTCCTTCTCTGGACGATGCCATCACCATCTGGGGTTCCCCTACCTCTCTGGGCTCCCCAGTTCCTATCTCCAGGGCCTCCTCTCAGGGCCCTGGAGGGTCAGAGGCTGCTCTGAAGAAGCAGGCTTTGAAGAAAAAGCAAGTTTGGTTCAGGGCATATCTGCTTGCTTCTGTGTTTCTCTGTCAAGAGTCTAAATTCCTTGAGTGTTTGGACCAGACATTTTCTTCACTCAAGTGCTGAAATATCATCTGAAAAAATAGTGAATGGAGATCTCCAATGGGCATCCTATTTTTGTGTGTGTTTGTTAGTTTGTTTGTTTTGAGACAGGGTCTCGCTCTGTCTCCCAGGCTGGAGTACAGTGGCGTGATCTCAGCTCACAGCAGCCTCCGCATCTAGGTCAAGTGATTCTTGCGCCTCAGCCTCCCAAGTAGCTGGGATTACAGACCTGTACCACCATACCCAGCTAATTTTTTTGTGTGTTTTAGTAGAGACGGAGTTTCACCATGTTGGCCAGGCTGGTCTCGAACTCCTGAGCTTAGGTGATCCACCCTCCTCAGCCTCCTGAAGTGCTGGGATTACAGGTGTGGGACACAACGCCCAATGGACGTCCTCTTGATGCTGTGGTTTTCAAACTTCTGGATCCGAAAGGATCATCAAGAAACTTGTGTAATTAAGCAAATATGAATCCATTTCCTTATTCTTCCCTCTCCCATTAAAAAATAAAATGGTGGCATTGTTCTCTTTCTGTTTTTCACTTAGCAACATATCTTGTTATTTTCCCATAGGCAGATATATTGAGCTACCTCATTCATTCATTCATTCATTCACAGATGTGTAGTATTCCATTACATGAATGCACCATCATTTTTGAAACTGTCTTCAGGGGATGGGCTTTTTTGGGTGTTTCCAGCCCTTTTGTACTTGCAAACTGTGCTTCCCTGGGTCATCATGTCCATGGCATTTCCCATGTATGTGACAGTATCTGTCATATTTATTCCCAGAAGCTGATTTCCTGGGCCACAGGGCATGCACATATGTGGTCTAGAGGATATTGCCAAATTGCTGTCCAGCAACCATGCCAGCAAAGTAAGGGCGTGGAGTGGCTTCTACCCAGGAATGCTCATGGCAGTCGGAGAAGGTTTAAAAATTTCAGATATGCCCCCACCCCCTGTATCTCTACAAAAATTAAAAATATTAGCTAGGCGTGGTGGCACATGCCCATAGTCCCAGCTACAGCTACTTGGGAGGCTGAGGCTGGAGGATCGCTCAAGCCCCGGAGTTTGAGGCTGCAGTGAGCCATGATTGCACCACTGCACTCCAGCCTGGGTGACAGGGTGAGACTCTGTCCACCCCAAAAAAGAAAATGTCAGATGTGAAGCTTTGTCCAGAAGGGTGTGATGTAGGAGGCCTGGGAGCAGGGGGAGAAAGAGAAAGACATAGAGAGCAAGAAGAGGAGATGGGGAACGAGGGCTCCAGAGGCTCCCTTGGTTCAAATTCTGCTTCCACCAATTGGTAGCTGGGAATCCTAAGTAACTGGTATCGCTTCTCTTGCCTCTTTTTTCTCATCCACAAAATATGGGCTCGTGAAAACTTGTGGTGTTAGTTAAATAAGTTATTTAGAAACAAGTTATATGTGGCTGGGCGTGGTGGCTCATGCCTGTAATCCCAGCACTTTGGGAGGCTGAGGTGGGTGGATCATTTTGAAGGGGGCCTGCCCCTCCACCCCTGTGGGTATTTCTCCCAAGGTGGAGATGAGAGACTGAGAAAAGAAATAAGGCACAGAGACAAAGTATAGAGGAAGAAAAGTGGGCCCAGGGGACCGGCACACAGCAAGTGAGGACCTGCACCGGCACTGGTCTCTGAGTTTCCTCAGTATTTATTGATCACTTTCCCTACTATCTTGGCGAGGGGCATGTGGCAGGACTATAGGGTAATGGTGGGGAGGGGGTCAGCAGGAAAGCCTGTGAGCAAAGGACTCTGTGTCATAAGTTTAAGGAAAGGTGCTGTGCCTGGATGTGCACGTAGGCCAGATTTATGTGTGACTTTACACAATCATCTCAGTGCAGTAAAGAACAGTATTGCTGCCAGCATGTCTCACCTCCAGTCATAAGATGGTTTTCTCCTATCTCAGTAAATAGAATGTACTATCGGGTTTTACATCGAGATATTCCATTCCCAGGGAGGAGCAGGAGACAGATGCCTTCCTCTTATCTCAACTGAAAAAGAGGCCTTCCTCTTTCATTAATCCTCCTCAGCACAAACCCATGTTCGGGTGTCGGGCTGGCGGGCGGTCAGGTCTTTCTCTTCCCACAAGGCCATATCTCAGGCTGTCTCAGTGGGGGAAAACCTTGGACAATACCCAGGCTTTCTTGGGCAGAGGTCCCTGCAGCCTTCCACAATGCGTTGTGTCTGGGTACTCAAGACTGGAGAATGGTGGCAACTTTTACCAAGCATACTACCTGCAAACACGTTTTTACCAAAGCACATCCTGCACAGTCCTAAATCCATTAAACCTTGAGTCAATACAGCTCATGTTTCTGCGAGCACAGGGTTGGGGCTAGGGTTACGGATTAACAGCATCTCAAGGCGGAAGAATTTTTCTTAGTACAGATCAAAATGGAGTTTCTTATGTCTTCCTTTTCCTGCATAGACACAGTAACAGTCTGATCTCTTTCTTTCCCCCACACATTTGAGGTCAGAAGTTCAAGACCAGCCTGGCCAACATGGCGAAACCCCGTCTGTACTAAAAACACAAAAATTAGGTGGTAGTGGTGCGCACCTGGAATCCCAGCTACTTGGGAAGCCGAATCACTTGAGGTGGAGGTTGCAGTGAGCCAAGGTTGTGCCGCTGCACTCCAGTCTGGGCAAAAAAGTGAGACCCTGTCTCAAAAAAAAAAAAAAGGAAAAAAATTACATGGTTTAAAAAGTTATTTATTTAGCTGGTCAATAAATGGCAGCAATTATTATTGATATCTCCTGGGGCTTATGATTCTTCATCCGAAAAATGGCATAGCATGGCATAGTGGCTCAGACCTGAAATCTCAGCACTTTGGCAGGCTGAGGTGGGAGGACTGTCTGAGAATAATGTATTAAAGCTCTTTGGTGCAATGCCTGACAAATATCACTATGGACACCTGGCTGCTGTTTAAACAATTTTTAAACTTTTTTTATTTTTGGTGAAGTGTCGCTCTGGTGCCCAGGTTGAAGCACAGTGGCATAATCTTGGTTCACTACAACCTCTTCCTCCTGCGTTCAAGCGATTCTCATGCCTCAGCCTCCCAAGTAGCTGGGATTACAGGCACGCACCACCATGTCTGGCTAAATTTTTTGTATTTTTAACAAGGCTTCACCATGTTGGCCAGGCTGGTCTTGAACTCCTGACCTCAGGTGATCCACCCACCTCGGCCTCCCAAAGTGCTAGAATTACAGGTGTGAGCCACTGTGCCTGGCCTGCTATGACACATTAATCATGTAAGGTAAATAGTCAGTGGCTGGCACATGGAGAGCCCTCAACAGACAAGACTTGGACTGAGTTCTGCCACTATTATTGCTAAGCAGATGCCATGTTAGGTGGTTCTGTGTTGGTCACAGAAGTACCGAATGTTCCTCAAATGTGAGATATATCCCGCAGAGGAGTTTCAGCCATATTTGTGTGCCCTGTGCCTGCCATCTGTCAGGATCCTCATATGGAGAGGTATTAAACTCGAACAGTGCAAAGCTCAAAGGTTGATCTTATTTGCAAACATGCCTCTCCCACTCTCAGGAAGAGAGGCTTCATGAGAAACCACTCAGAAGTGGTGGTGTTTTTATTTAGTTTTTGGTTCTTTTTGAAAAAGAGAGGAAAAAAAAGCAACATGTGTAAAAGACATATTTTGGGGTCTGACCAATTTCCAAGGTGAAACCTCCCCCCTGTTTGCTGAGCAATGAGCTCCCACAGACAGGGATGAGCCTCTGATGCTTTGCTTGCACAACGTGTCACAGCGATGGGACCAAGGATGGCACCAAGTCAACCCATCAGATGCTTTCTTCAGGTGTTTCAGAAACAGGGCAAAGGGAGTCTGGTTAAGTTGGGTTGTTCCCTTGAACAGGGATGTTGGATGTTGTAGACTTGGAAGCTGTGGGATGGGGTCTTTTCCCACGTGGATAGAGAAGTACAAAGTGCCCATCTGCAGAGAGAGACAGAGAACTGTGAATTCCATGTGCAGGAGGAAAGAAATTGTAAGGACTTGGGGTGGCGGTGAAGTGTGTGGGTGGGGGAGGCTGGCAGAGAGAGCTGTGTGTACTTCCACATTTCTTGGTAGATTGCAAAAATGGCCACAGATTTTTCCCTTCCTAGTAAGAGGTGGAGTCAACTTCCCCATCCCTTGAATTTGGCCCGTCATGTGACTTTGGCCAATGAAGTCCTTTCTGTGGCGGAAGTGATGGCATGTCCACTTTGAGCTTGAGACTTAAGGAGCATTGCAGTTTCTACTCTTACTCTTGGAATCCTTTCTCTGCCATGTGAACAAGCTTGGGTCACCCTGCTGGAGGATGAGAGACAACATGAAGGAGAGGCCAGTTGTCCCAGCTATGAGGCTATCTTAGTCCACACAGCCCCTGGGCAATCTGCCAACTGACCCCAGATGAAGGAGCGAGCCCTACAGAGACCAGAAGAACTATCCAGCTGAGCCCAGCCCAAATGGATGACCCATGAAATTGCAAGCTAAATAAATGACTGTTGTTTCAAGCCACTGAATTTTGGGGAGGTAGTTTGTTACAAAGCAAACGCTGACTGTCACACCTATGGATTGCTGAAAAATTTCGTAGGTCCTTAGATGAAACTGTTCATTTTAGTTTTTCCTGAGCTACTTCAGTGAGTTTC